GCGGGGGCGCCCCCCACGGGGGGGGGGGGGACAGAGAACGCCCCCCCAGCAGGGGTCACGGAGAACGCCCCCCTCCCTCCCAGCACGGGTCACGGAGAAAGCCCCACCATCAACCAATCAGATGTCAGAACTGTATCCTCCTCTAACAAAAGACCGCAGAGCTCTGGTGGTCCCGCCTCCTCCCCTCTGATGTCACTGGTTGTCCCAGCCCCCCCATCTGATGTCACTGGCTGTCCCAGCCCCCCCATCTGATGTCACTGGCTGTCCCACCTCCTCCCCTCTGATGTCACTGGTTGTCCCAGCTCCTCCCCTACCCTCTCACTGGTTGTACCGGCTCCTCCCCTCTGTCACTGGTTGTACCGGCTCCTTCCCTCTCATGTCACTGGTTGTCCCAGCTCCTCCCCTCTCATGTCACTGGTCGTAACCGGCTCCTCCCCTCTCATGTCACTGCACACTGGGAGCTCCTCACTATGTGCATTAGAAGCTGCAGCAAGTCACATAGAGCTCCGCCTCATTTCCTGGCTGGAGGACATCCAGCATCATCTAGCACTTCCTCCCAAACCTGACTGTCCCTGGCTCCGCCCCTTTCATTCATTGGCTTTCAGTTCTGTCAATCATCAGCATCACATGTGGGCGTTACCTAGGCAAATACAGCCCGCCTAGGAACGCCCACTCCTCCAGGCCCGACACCCGCCCATCAAGTCATTTTGATATTTGCATAACTCCGCCCACAATCCCAGCCCACCTCTTCCATTGGGAGTACTGAGGCGGGGGTGCTGGGATGTTTTCAGGAAGCCATGTACAGCCCTCTGATCTGCCTGCATTGCATAGAGAAGCTCAGTATAGGGGAGGAGTCTGAAGGGAAGGCGGGGTTCAGGTAACCTTGGTAACAATGTTGCGGTCGGTGAGTATCGGGGAATAGATACAATGTAACATTTCTCCCTCCGCTCACCACAGACACGGTGCCGTCTTTTCACTCAGGATTCACCCATTGATCTGATGTGAATCCCGGGTGAATCTTGTGTGTGGTGTCTAATAAGCAGCCCC